CTGATAGTTTATACATTTCGTCTAGCAATTGGGATAAATTAAATGAAGCTGGGTTGGTGTCCGAAAATGATTTTTGTAAAGGAAAGAATGATTACGATGATGGTGGAATTATATATGGTTTATATTTAGCGCCAAAAGTTAAATATAATATCATTCTAACTTCCGACGGTATTCTAAAAGAAAAGAAAACGTTTAAGGGTTACTCTTATGATAGCTGTCGAATATTACATTCAGTTAGCTAGTGGACATGATGTGAAGAATGAATTTAAGAAACCATGGAAAAAAGTTTCACCAATGGAGTAGTTATTCCAAAGGATGATGATAAACAAATGAAAGTTTTCAGAAGTTATCTGAATCTCGTTAAGAGAAAAGCACCGGACGATGAAGGAATTGTGTTTCCTTATGGTGATAAAGATGAATTGAGTTTGGATGAAAACTATGAATTTGATGATTTCGATTATCTAACTATTCAAGAGAATGAAGAGTGTTTAATTACTCAATAAATTTAATTTTTTTGTTTTAAATGAAGTTGAATTACAATTTCCTCGTTACCAAAATCTATAAACCTATTTTTACCATCTTTGATTTCCAGATTTATATCTTTAATCATAAAGGAATTAAGTGGTAAATATGTCGTTTTAAATGGTTTCTCTATAATTCTATATCCTATCGGTACAGTGAATGTTGGAAGACTGTAAATAATCTGACGTTGGTATATATTGAAAAATCCACCGTTTATCAAATTGCAATGTATATTTATCACATCGATATCATTCTCGATATTAGCTTTGTGTGGTGCTAAAGTGGATTGCGTGTATATTTGTTTATCAAATCCTAGTAACGTATTCAATGAATTTTCTACGTTGAAATCAACTTGACTATTATTTCTTAATATCAATTTTATTTTGTTCAAATTCAAATTACCTTCGAATTCAATATTGTTTTTACCATTTGCACTTCCTCCATATTCAGATAGGTATTCGTTAATGGCTACGTATTCGTAGCTTCCTGGTAGTAAACGTATGGTTTTGAATTTAATTTGGTTATTTTTTTCGTTGATATTTCTAATGGAATTGTAAACAGAGAAATACTTTAATCCCAATTCATATTCTTGATTGCGATTGAGTTCGTACTCATAATCTAGAGACAATTTAATGTCTGATTTATTTGAGGTATGACAAATAGTTGTTCTTTATGTGACATTTTTAATTACGCTTTTATAATCAGTTTTATCTATAATACCTTTCTCTAGTTGTCTTTTTAATATACAATTTACTTCATTATATTGTCTGTGTGATCGATGTCCTTCCTTCATTGCCGCTAATATTATTTGTAAGTAGTTCCTCGTTGTTGTCGGATAAAAACGTTATACCTTGTCCAGTTACCATATCTTCGAATTCGTCTATTTCTTGTATGATTGGATTGTTGTCTTCAGCATAATCATCTACTACGTCAACTTCGTATGTACTAAATACTAGTAGTATGCTACTAAATCCTTGTAATCGGCAATATCAAAATCCCCGGCATTCATTAAATCTATTAATCCTTTTGTTAATGTACATATAAAGCCTTTTGTATCGATTTTGAATATAGGGAAATT